AGCTATTAGGAACAAGTGCATCGCTTCTAGTAACAAGTGCCTTACTACTAGTAACAATAATTAGTAGAATTAAGTTCTACAAAGAGAGACCGAGGTTTGGTGCCTAATGTCACAGCTGTGCCGCTCTACAAAGAGTTGGCCTCAGCCATGCCCCTGGTGCTGCAGAACCTCACAAACTACAGCGGCCTCATCAACGACAAGGGAGCCGCAAACGGGAACATCACACACCATTTCGGTGACCTGGCCAATGATTTGGCCATGCTGTCAGACAAGGTGAGTGGTCTCTACAGTGTCTTGCATGAGATGCTACCGGAGAGTGGGCCATTCCTGTGCCCTTTGGACAAGCAGAGTCATATCAAGGAGTGCCTTTTGATCGCCACATGCCTCTTGGAAGAACATGTGCCCGAAGACATCGAACTTGCCACCTTCACCACTTACATGGAGATGACACAGCGTTTCCTGGACATCGGCTGGGAAGCATTGAAGAATGGTTTGCTGTTTGAAGAACAGTCTCCCATTTTAAACATGGATGCTACAGCTCCCGAGCAGTACCAGTGCGACTTGCTGAAGCATAAGGAGGTGACAGCAAGCCTGTTACAAGTGCATGAGTCGGATGGGGCAACACTTGCGATGTCCTCAGCCATGGTCCATGCCTCCACGAGCAGTCTCAAGATCCTGGAAGCACATCAAGTAGGCAGCTCTGTGGATGCCACAGTCTTGAAGCTGCACGAGATTTGGATGCCAATTTGCAAGCAGCTGGATTGCGACCATAGCAGTTTCTGGGACTTGAACTATGCCTCATATCATCAGACTGCCTCCTTGCTACAGCTCAAGTCAGGCCACGCAGCACGGCGAGCTGCACGCAATGAGATCCGACATCGTGTGAAGTTGGAGAGGAGGGTCGTTGACTTCGTATCAGAGAACTATGAGTATTACTCCAAGATTTACAATGGAAGTACTCACCTTCCTCCTGGCCGACGATTTGTCGACTCCTCCTTCATCCAGGCTTCCTCCAGGGCTGCACGGAGCCGTTTGGCAGATATGGGGAGGCAATCCATGCTGGAGCATGTCATTCCTTTCATGAAGCAAATCGCCACGCAGGACGAGCCACAGAGCTTCTCCTTTCTCTCTAGCTTCTCTCCTTCCATCCCCCGCTTCGTCCAACTCAATCAACAATCCAATCAACTCAACAACCCAATCAATTTGACTCATCATCTCAACTCTACTACTAGTAACAAGTGCCTCGCTAGTAGTAACAAAAAGCTATTAGAATTAAGTTAAAGTTAATAGCTTTTTGTTACTACTAGTAAGGCACTTGTTACTACTAGCGTGGCACTTGTTCCTAGTAGCTACTGGCTGTGTTGTTGTGCTGTGCCATGCAGTTTCGCGATTGCTTGCAACACACTTAACTCCATTCCCAACTCGACACGACTATCAACTCAACCAAATCAACCACCTCAACTATCACTTCAACCCAACTCACACAACTCAACTCCACCTTCTTGTCGTTCTGCCCTTTTCCCAATTTTTCCGGCATGAAGACTTTCAACTTACATTCCTATATCTGTCCATGTTTTTGTTTCTTTTGGAAGGCTCAACATGTGGGGTGATCCGCTCCTTTTATTTACTATTCCTCTTGTTTTTTCCCGTATTTTGCGCCACGCAGGACGAGAACAGGGCCATCAGGTTGTTCGACCATGTGGAGTTCCGCAAGTTTCAGCAGCGAAAGCAGCGGCGCCTCCCAGCCTCCCTGCTACAGAACAAAGAGCAACAAGAAGACAGCTCTGAGGACGATGAGGCCGTGAACGAGGAGGACGATCACGCTGCCGAGTTCGAGGATGAGGATGAGGATGACCACGCTCCGGCCCTGCTGGACATGGGGATGGACTCAGAAGAAGAAGAGGACACAGAAGACTCCCTGGAAAGTGGCCGCCGCCGCCGAAGGAGCAGAAGACGCCGCCGAAGGAGATGGATCGGTGGAAGGAGGCGAAGCAGACGCCGCAGGAGAATCTTCGATGACATCGTGGACGCAGTGGCATCTCGGGCAACTACAACCTGTTGACCTTCTGGGTTAGTTGTAAGTAAGAGGGGGCGAAAACATAAGTCTAGCCTTACTACTAGTAACAAGAAGCTACTAGTAACAAAGGGCATCGCTACTAGTAACACGGACGCTACCATTATTAGAGCAAACATTTGATTCCGGGAGCCAAGACCAAGGCAAAGGTTGTCGAGGACGTCGTGGAGTACATGGAAAGTCTTACGGGTTGCTTGGGCTACGCGATAGAGTTCGCCGGCAGCGGCTACGACTATGAGGTGGTCCCCGGCGCCGTGTCGATCTCTCTCGGACTTTCCTCAGGAGCAAAGCAAGCACTCGAGGACCTGATTTCGGAGCGGCCTCCCTCTGCTTTCATTTCCTTGGACTTTGGCTTTGCAGTGGGCGTGACCAAGAAGCTCGCGTGGCTGGGTGTAGGCTTGGGAGGATCCCTTGCCTGTGACTCCACCGCTGGGTGCGATGTGTACATCACGGTGGCCAGCATCACCAGTATCAACCTGCCCACGGTCTCAGCCTTTTGCCCCATGGGTCCCAACTGGGGTCCAGCCACCTGTGCCCAGTCCTTTGGCGGCGGCATTTCGACCATGTGCTGCAGCATGGGGCTCCAGGAAGGCAAAAATGACTGCCGCTGAGGCTCCGCTGAGCGAAGAGACAAAAAGCGACGAATCCTGCTTTGAGGTACGAATGTTTACCTTGAATTCATTCACCTGCAGCACATGCCCGACAAGTCATCCAGATTTCCTGTCCATTCGACTTTGGGGATGGTCAGGTTTGAAGTGAGCCAAAAAGACCGCGGACAACCTCGACATGCAGGCCCTACCTTCCCACGTTGTAATCAGAGAGAGAGAGCCTTCAGTTGCGACTAATGGCGAACCATCGCCACCTCGCTGAACTAGACTTGTGGCACTGTTGTTGCAGGAGAAACAGAAGCCGATAATTGGCATCTCAGACTTTGCTTGGATCCTTGGGTGGTTTCTGGGTTCTGAGGTTCAATTGAAGAGATCCAAAATGGAAACTGTCCAGCTAACATCAAAGTAAGTTGATGAACTTGATGTTCTCGCAGGAAATATGCCAAGTCTTCCGAAACCGCTCTAACTCCTCGAAGCCTTAAGAGTTGAAAAAGCTGCGTGAAACTCCTGTCTCTTTTCAAACGACTCATAGAACTCTTTGTCAACTTTTTGTTGCGAAGGATCTTCAACTCAGGTGTGATCTCCAATGTGGGCATGTTTTCCACCAGGACCTGGGTTTCCGCACTCGTCATCCGCCTTTTCCACCCAGCAGGTATGGTATGAAGCTTCATGCCATATGGCTTCGTTCTTAGATTCAATGAAGTGGCCTCCACCTCCAGAAGCCTTGCTTGGAAGAGGCCCCAATCGAAAACTGGTTGTTTACGTCTGCCACCAAATCAACGAAAGAACAGCTCTTCGGCTGAGTGGCTGGGTTCTTCGAGTTGCTTCTTGTTACTAGTAGTATGGCCAGGAGCGCCCCTAGTAGCGTCCTTGCTCCTAGTAGCGATGCCCTTTGCTCCTAGTAGCCTCCTGGGTCTTAATGCCGTTTGAGGGATGGTGACGTTTCGGAAAGTGGATGAGGCTGCAAGGCTGCATCGCTGAATGGCTGGTGAAGGCCACAAAGCCATTTGTGGAGTCATGACGATCATGAAGTGGGAAGGATGGAAAGCTGGTTGGAACAAATCAACCTCAGATTCTAGTGCCTTACTAGTAACAAGAAGCTAGTAGAAACAAGTGCCTCGCTTCTAATAACAAGTGCCTTACTAGTAGTAACAAGAAGCTAGTAGGTTTGTTTGCTTTAGTTCTTGGGCTCAAAGCTCCTTAAACTGCTGCAGAACTTTGACGCTCCTCTATTCAATTCACTTGTACTGTTTTCAGGGTCTTCCTGTGAGCTGGGAGTCTTTTGGTTCGTCGCACGAAAATCCTTTTGAAGGTGGACCTGGCAAATCCTTTGTTGCGTGCCCCGCAGACGGTGGAAAGAAGCTCGGCACTGGCACCATAGGTAGAAGGAGTTGAAACCCTGGGACCATGAGCGTATCGAGTCTTTTCTTGAATTTGGTGGGGTGTTGAAGTTTTCTTCTTGCACGGTACTGTTTCGGTCTGTACCAGGACATGCAATGTTTGAAGACTGTATGATTGGCGCATTTGATGGTGAACACCAGGTTGTTCTTGAAGACATTGGAGTAGGTTCCATTGGTCTCAGTTCAAAGGTGTGCAGTTTCTCTGAGTGCTGCAGCAGCATCTCTGCAAAGGAAACTCTTCTTTGAGGCGTTTGCGAGGTGCGAAACACGAAGGAGACTGGCTCTCGTTTTCATGCTTTTCAACAAGGATAAAGATATATGTGTTCTAAAGGTCTAAAGAAACAACAAGAGAAGTGGTTATTTGGCTTTATGAAAAGCGATTGGAGTTTTCGTTTAAAGCTCTTCACCTTCTCTGGATGTTTTTTCGCCTTGACTGGAGGACACTTATTACATCAGTCGACACTCAGAGATCCGGATCAAAAGGATGCCCCAACAAGGTTGGAGGCCATTGCTTCTGGGTTGGAGGCCATCGCTATTGGATTGGAGGCCATTGCTATTACATCCATATGGAGGACAACATCGGCTAGTACCTATGTAACATGCTTCAGGTGGTGTTGGCCGTTGCCCATCAACGGCACTTTGTTTCTCTTCGGAGGTATCTTCAGACATTGCTATGAATCAAAGGATGGTTCCTGCCAACCCAACAGTGGTTTGCACCTAACTATCTTGATTGCTTCTTTTTGTTTCTCAATGAAATCTGCAGTCCCTGTCAGGTGCCACAGCTCAGATTGCTTGTTTCTGCCGAGGGTGGTGTGAGGGCGATTGCGGTTGATATACATGTCAAGCATCTCTGAAGCACCGAGTATCCTTGGACAAAAGCGTTCAATCACAGATAAAAAGACATGAAAACGTACTGTGCTTGAGACATGGAGCATGAGTCCATGAAGATCCATGAAGCCGTTTTGAAGATTTCCTTGGAGGTCCAAGGCGCCGGAACTCATCGGAGATACGTCAGATACAGAGACCATACGACGGCCTTGCGCACATTTTTGCAAGGCCATGGCTAGTAGGTTGGAGTCCTGATGAACTGCTGAAGGAGGTTACCCCGGGTTTGGCGTCCTTGGGGGGAGCACAAGGTGTAGGTTTGATGCAACTTGTGGAAGCTATGCAGGGGTGGGTAATGTGAGCTGTTTGCCCCACCTGCTCTGCAGCGTTTGTGTCAAAGAGACGTTGTTGTGGCCGTATCACAGGCGCTTTTTAGATACCGAGCGCGATGGTTGTGGAGGTTGAAGCAGTGTCTTCTGGAAGCTCAAGCTGCCTGTTTGGAGGGCGTTCGTTGTGGCATCCAATCTGCGCAATTGTGTTTAAAGAATTCTGAAGCTTCTTCACACACAGAAGAGTGTGTGTTGGTGGAGGGGGACAGATCAGATACCGGTTCTTGTGCATTTGCCAAGATATCAACATTTCTACAATTTGTTCAAGGACGCTACTCGGGGCTCCTGGCATCGCTACTAGGAGCAAGGATGCTACTAGGGGCTCCTGGCCGTACTACTAGGGGCAAGGAAGCTATTAGAAACAAGTTCGCTTGACAGGCCATGGAGTCTCATACGTTGCCAGACCCGGGTGTGTGGAGCACCTGGGCTGCGGAGGTCAGCCGAAAACCGTTCAAAGGTCTTGAAGTGAATTTTGAGTAGCTTGGAGGCCGTCTCTTAGTAGGTTTGAGGCCATGGCTATTAGGTGTATCGCTATTTGGAGGCCATCACTAGTAGGTTGGAGACCATCGCGAGTAGGTTGGCCATCGCTATTTGGTTGGAGGCCATTGCTAGTAAGCTGGAGGCCATCGCTATTAGGTTGGAGGCCATCGCTCTTAGGTTGGAGGCCATCGCTTCTAGGTTGGAGGCCATTGCTATTAGGTGGGTGAAGGACAAGTGCCAAAGTGCCTGGAGAAAGCATTTGGAGTGGAAGTCTTCTGCAAGGCCTCGCCAGTACAATAGTAGAAGCTTGGTCAGAGAGTCTAAGACAAAGCTATTTAGGCGATTGTACTGGAAATTGTTTGTGTTTTCACTGGCTAGGCGTACATTGGACACACAGCGGACAAAGGCGAGAAGGTCAACAAATCTCCGCAACGAGAAAGGAAAGCTGATGAAGTGTGGAAGAACTTCGGAAGAACCTAGATCTGCAGTTGAGCGTGCTAACTTCACCTGACTCAGTCATTCAAGGAAGACCCTTTGACGGCCTGGTTTGGATGTTTTGTCGCTGCCCCAAACTTTGAGTGAATATAGAGAGAGTCAACCCATCTCAAGCCATCTCGACGCACAATCCTGACAAAAGTGTACTTTAGAGAGTCTCCTTTTGGTCCGATGGGCAAAAGGTGAAGACAGAATCAAGACCTTGACACGAGACCTCTTTTGGAGACCTCCTCCGGAGACCTCCTCTGGAGATCTCAGAAACAGATTGAAAGAATTGCGGTCTGTTTTTTTGGCCTCCAACCTAATGGCGATGGCCTCCAACAGAGAAGCAGACAGCGCTCCATCCTTTGGGCAGGTGGGACCGGCACTCCGACAACCTCCGTGGACTCTCTACCGATCGAGGACGTGATGGAAAGGAAAAGAAGGAAAAAGAGTTAGTTTGGAGTTTTGAAGTGGGTTGGAGGCCATCACATGCAAAGATTTGCTGGTCAAAAAGCCTACGCGATGCTACAGCAGATGCCTCCAGATGCAAGGATCATTGTACAGATGGCCTTGAGACTTACGCATCTTTGCCGCGGCACATCGACCTTTTGCCCCTTTGCCCACAATTTTTTGCACAAAAAAATGAAGTGAACCTCAAGGGCATTACTACTAGTAGCTAGAGGCTACTAGTAACAAGTGCATTACTACTAGTAGCTAGAAGCTACTAGTAACAAGGGC